GGGCCCCGCTCGCGTCGCCCCTCGCCGGGCGGGCCAGGAGCCCCGCGGGGAGGCCGGGGCGGCGTGGGCAGCCTCTGCCCGCCGTGCCTCCCGGGCGGGCAGCGCCACGTAGGTGTCGGCGGGGCGCGCTCCGCAGCTGGCCGGTCCTGGGGCGGAACTGCCGGCGGCCGCCCTGCGGCAAGATGTCTTTCCTTCCCTGCAGGAAGTGAGTCGGGATGGAGCCTCCCTCTTCCTCGGCCCGGGGAGCGAGCTGCCTCTCAGTGTTGGCAGAGGCACGCGTGGGCGGGTGTCTTCCCAGGCGCGCTCGCAGCTCCGCCGCCGCCTTTCTTCCTTTAGGATGAATAAACGTGCCCAGAGCCGCCTCACTTGCCCTGTGGGGATTCGGGGAGCCGCCCAGGGCGCAGCTCAGGCCTTAGAAGCTCATTCAGACCCCCAGCAGTTCTTTCCCTCCGTCCAAAATGTATTCTGTGAATTCTGCGAGATGCCAGCTAGATATTATTTGCATCTCCAAACTTTTTTTTCTCAGCTTTGTTGGATTTTTCTCTGTCATTCCTTCCAGAAATTTAGAGGCATGTGCGTAGGACAAGCCCTTGTCACTGGCCACCTGGGAATGGCCTGGAAGTGTTGGATGTTGAAAGTGAAGGCCTAGGAGGAGAGGTTACTGGAAAATTCCAAATTTGTGGGTTTGATGAGACCAGAGTTACAGCCGTTTGGCAGGAGATGTAAAATCTGAAACCACGGAGGCGGAGTGAAGTGCCCAGGGTAGAGAGAGCCTGCGTTTACTGAGCAGATACTTGGTGCCAGGGCCCAGACTTGGTGCTTTACCGCTGTCAGTAACTTCATTGGCACAGCACTGCCCTGAGAACAGTGTTAATCCTCCTGCAGGAGAGAAGAAGGCAGTACTTCGAGGTTAAATTTCCTGCCAAGTTAATGAGTTAGGCTTCAAACCCATCGCTTCCTACTCCAAAGCCCTTGTTCTTTCCAGATCTATCTATATCGGCCAGCTTCCCAGCACTCCCTCACTCCCAACTTGTTAGCAGATATTTTGAAAAATGGAGGTTGGGGCAAGAGCAGGCTTGTTCAGTTAAGGTCTGCCGGCAAGAGGTTCACAAGATGCACCCAGAGACACTAGGATGTCTTTCCTCTGAGCATGACTCTTTTCCCCGCCACCTCACCCGAAGAGCCGGTGAGGAAAGGAGGCCAAGTGCTTCAGAAGGCCTTCACTGACAGCACGGCCTGTAAGCATCTCGCCGCGTAAAACTGGAAAAAAATAAACCCCGTATTTACTCTTTCAGTTGCGAATTTGGGAGAATGCTCAAAGGTGAAAAACAGGAGTTAACACTTGATCTGAATTAGAGGTGTACTGAATAGGTGTTCTAGCCAAATGGATAAATGTTAAAATCAACATTCTTTCAAAGCAGAAGTTGCAGTTCTGCTTTGAATTCTTTCTCAAAAGGTATGAAAATTCCCGAGTGGATTTTTCACCAAGGTCTCAGGACTAAATGTGATTAGTTAAAAATTAAACAGTTCTTAAATGTTACTTTATTTAATGTTATTCATAGTAATATACTAAAAATTGTACAAATATTAGAATTATTAAATACTCCTTATTTTGCCTTATATTATTATTTAGGTTTTTAGAAACATCTGGCCAATGTACATTCTTTTGATATTTTTATTATTTCCAAATTATTTTCCCGTGAATTCAGTTATTTGGAAGCTCTTAATTATTTTGGGGCATAGAATGAGCAGCTTCCAAAATCATGTATTACTAATTTTATTATCGCAGTACTAAAGAGATACTTATCTTTTCCTGGCTCATGTAACTTCAACCTGTAAAACACATGGAGATTTTCATCCTGGTCACATCTAGAATGCTTACCTATATTTCAAGTGAATCTGTAGATGTTTGCAATAAATCTAAATGATATACTATTAGTAACATAGTTGTGATCACAAGATACTCAATCATAAGGTCATTGATCATGGGCAGGTTCACTGATGCCAGAAATGACCTTGAAGTAGGCTCCTTTGCCTTCTGGAAGCTGAAGACAGAGCTGAAGCTGAATAGCAGATTTTAGCTGTACTGTAAGGCTGAAGCTGACTGTATTTTTATTTATTTTATTTTTAAATTTATTTTATTTTATTTATTATTTATATTTATTTTATTTATGATATTTTTAATTCAGCCCTTACCTGTTTGCATATAGTTTCTCGATGCTCAAATATTTTTCAAGTTACCTTGTATTAGGTTTAACTCTGGCCATTAATCAAAGGATCTGAAATAGAAAGTATTTCAGTAGCTCTATTAATGACTTTACTTAAAAGTTTTTATGTTCTCTATTCTAAACAAATTTTGGAATCTACCACTTTAGATATGTATGTTGGAAATTACAGATATTCTAGCACAGTTTTATAACACATATACTTGTATAACAATTTTGTTTTAAGAAATCATTGCAATTCAAGTCATCGGTTGATTTCAATTCAGAGAATCTAATTCAGACCTCTCCTGAGGCTGCGGGGATCTCGCTAGACCCTTCGCACTCAGTAGATTGGTGTGGGATTCCCTTACCACTGGGATCCCGGGATCCTTTTAGACCTACCCCTTTTTGTGTGGTGTTTCCTAGAGTAGGGTCCCTGAAGTGGAGCCACCTAATTCCCCGGCTCCCCCGTAGTCTTGCTAGGTCTTTCCTTGGCATATTCTTTTTTGTAGGCCTCCTGCTGCTGCTGCTGGTTCTTCTTCTTTTTTCCTTGTTTTGCTATAAAGTTTTATAAAATGACAAGAAGAAGAAATAGAAAGGACTTCTTTTCCTTTTCTTGTCATGATGGAAATTAGAGACTACATGAAGAGAGGATCATCTGGTAGATACTTCTGTGTGAGCCATTGTTCTTGGAGAAAGAATGGATGAGAGCTGTTGGAAAGCCCTTGGGTGGGAAAAGGACGCCTGAGTTCACTCACGCTTACACACCTTGCAATTTGCTAAGGACAAGAATAATAAAAAATAGTAAAATGAATGCTTTGGGATGCCGATGTCAGATCCTGTGCTAAGTATGCTATCTCATGAGCACGGTTTACTGTTGTAAAGATGTGGAATTCTAGATTACTATGTAGATTAAAATTAATATTGGTTCCTCAAAGCTGATACAGTAAGTATGCATACAATAAAAAGTAAACACCTCACTATGTTACGTTTTTTTATATCATGACCATATTTTCCATTTCTCGCTTATATGATTAATCAGTGGGTGATGTCTTTGACATTATGTCTGAACTCCAAAAGTGGAAAGGTAAACCACAGGTTTTCTTCAAGCTCTGGGATTCTGTGA